TTAAATCAAGCAATTTGCAATTTTGCATCAGGGTTATATCTCTAGCATTCTCTTTCTAAACCTCAATTTAGATCGAACGCATTGTTCAAGGCTCATAAAGAAATACTTGAAGCGATTCTCATCATTTTTCTCAATAAAAAATGTCGATCCAATATTAATTCTTCCTATGTTATAGCAATACCTACCCAATTTAAATAAACAATAATCATAATTTAAATAATCAATTAAATATTAAATAAACAGAAAAATAAACAATTGAACTAAATAATTAATTAGATATTAAATAAACAGAAGAATAAACAATTGAAATAAAATAATTAGCAATTAAAATAAATATTAAATAAACATCTAAACAATGAAATACCTAACATATTTAGTATAACTCTTCTCGATTGAACCCATCAAGTCCTCCAGTGCACATTATTTGGTCTTCCAAACCTTCTGATAGCTCATGATCACATCGTACTCTCGACGAACGTCATTAATGATGTCCAAAGGTCTCTAAATCGTTCATGGGTCCTGAAATTTGTGTATTATTTCTCGACCAATGAAACATGATGAAGCTTGCCTGTAATCATTTCGACGGATACCCACTTCGCAAATATGTTCTAGTGCATACTTAAGAACTATAAGGAATTCATTTATGTCCATCTTCATCGCTCACAAACGCCAATGACATCTGTCGTCAACGCAAATAATTGTGTACGTCGACTTGTTTGATTTTTTCACTTTAAACTTGAAGTTATGCTTCAAAGCAATCCGGACACAATTTTCTGCAATTCTTTCTTTGATTCGAACAGTTGCTTGACGTATACATCTTCGTCATTAGGAACCACACGCGAATAATTAGAGGACCGTATAATCGGTCTAGTATGTGAGCTCTCAACCGACTCATGTCTTCCACAGGATAAAGCAATCAAATCCTCATTTGTGGATACATTTTTATTCTCGTTGTCTTCAACTGCCGAGGGAATTATGTGCGTAATAGTGTGATCATGGTGAGTAGCAATTATTTCGAGAATAATCACATTATCTTCATGAGCAATTTGAACTGTATCCCTAACATTATTTACATTACGATCCTCTTCATCGAAAATTTCATGTTCACTCTCGGGGACATTTTTCCTTAATGAAGTTACATAAACAGGAGTTGACTTTTGGCTAAGAGTGGGCATTTTTTCCTGGAATCGGACCGGAACCATTTAGAATCGGTCGGTTCGGTTCCGATTCTTCTAAAAAATAATTTGGCTTCGGGACAAAATATTAAGAACCGATCGGTTCCGGTCCAGTTCTTGGTTCTAGTATGGGAATCGCGAGGAACCGAACGGTTCTCATAGAATTTTTTTAGTGGGTATTTTTTTTCTTTTTTGGTAAAATATAAGACTTACTCTTCAATTTGTCCCGAAACGAAATTGTTAATATATATGACTTACTCTTAAAGTGAAAAGAAACTTCTATCAAAGTAAAACAAAATTTAAAAAAAAAAATTGTAGAGGCAGTGACATATGGAAATGAAACGAATGCTTATGTATATAGTTCACATGTCACTTTTTAATTAAATAATTGAGAAAAATACTGAATTGTGATTACCTGAAAGTTCAAGAAAATGTTAAAAAGGGACCCTTCAATTGACTTTTTTTTCAGTAAAATATATGACTTACTCTCCAAACACTTTTATTTTGTTTTCATTTTGATGAAAGTTTGTTTAATCATTGAAATACTAGACGGTTTATATAAGTTAATATTTGTTTTATAATAGTAACTTATATTATTTGCATATTGTTTTAAAATTTGTATACTTAGTTTTCTTTTAATCTTTGTATAATATGTTCGGTTCTTATATATTTTTTTTAAAAGTATCACATTGGTAGTTTCTTTAGATTTCTTATTAGTAAACATTTTATTTTGACATCTTTATGTAAAGAACTGGACCAGACCGAACCGAAATCGATTGGTTTGGTTCCAGTTCGGTTCCATAGCTAACAATGGAACCAATGGTTCCATTTCTAAAATTCTCATTGGTATTCGATTCGGTTCGGTTCCTTTTAGAACCGGACCGAACCGGACCGCGCCCACTCTTACTTTTGGCATTAGATCAATTTAATTAGATGCTTTATCTCCACTTCAAAACTAATTTTCATAAATGGAATCAAAATAGTTGAATGCTTTTAAAATAAAAATCTCAATTACATATCGTACGGAGAGGGATCGACGTTAAGCATGTTTTGTATATCATGGTACATTTCTGTAAACGATGTACTTCTTGTTATAAAAATTACTTTAACCTCATCTCATTCACTCGTCCATTTCCATTCCCATTGACATTTTCATTCTTTTAAAATTCACCGAAATAACAAATTGGGACACTTGCTGATATCATATCTGCATCACAAATTAAAAATATTAGAAAATAATTAGATTAAATGGAAGTAATTAATATATAATTATTTTAATTATTCATTTAATACTTAATTTAATTTTTTTTATCTAAAATATTATATTAATTGTTTTAATTGTTTAATTAATATTTATTTTATTTATTTCAATTAGTTATTTATTTACTTAAATAAAAAATATACATAAACAATTAACATAATTCATGAAATATAAACAAATAAGTTATAAAATAAATAATTAAACATTATTTATATAAAAAAAAGGTCTGGGCCATCTGTCCGGACCGTCTGGGCCAACCGTTATCGCCTCCATTTGCTTTGTTTGGTAATTTTACAGACGACTATAAATTTTTTCTGAAATAATATGTATACAGATGAATTTTTTTCCTCATTTTTGCTAAAAAAATTGTACAACGGTTTAAGACTCTAATAATTTATCTGACTACTTCGAAATAAAATTTAAAGATTCAAACAATATACTAGTTTAACTAAAACGAAATTAAAAATATGTATTTATACTTATCAATTTCGAATGACGACTATGAATAATATTTTTTTGTTCAGCCTATGATAACTTTGTGAGATTTCAATGTTCTGACAAATGGAAAAGGAAATTTCTTTTTAACTGTGTTAGAGAATCTGATATAGAAAGTGATTTGATTTTGAATTTTAAGTGGGAGTGGTTGGGTTTATTAATTTTTTAAACGAGGGTATTATTGTCTTTTGCACAAATGATATGTTTTTATAATTACAAAACATAATAAGATCAAAAATGACATTTACTATTCAAAAAGCCCTTTTGGTGAATGGTAAAAAAATATTGATCAATGTGGCAAAGTTGTTTGACTTGGTCCTTTCGAAAAGTACCCCATTATCAAGTCAAGTGTTTAAGTTATAACTACAATTAAACTAAACTAATCTAATTTAATCTGAGTTTAATGAACTCATGGTAACTTTTAGGATGAAGTTGTTTGAAACTTCGATTTCACTTATACTATTTAGTGGTCATTCAATCCAACATCTCTTAGCACTTTTTCATATTCATTAACAAATGAATTAATCAATTTTAGTTAGTAATATCTTTCGAGTAAAACCAGTCCTATCTACATGTTTGAATTTACTAAATTTCTATGTAAATTCATAAACAATTGAAAGCATTCAATTGTAGTAATTCAATCATGATTGCATAATCTGTAAGATTATCCCTCGACCTCTTATTAAAATCTATATCACTTACTGCATGAACTAGACAAATAAATCTTCTTTCGATTTCAGTATTGTGCATAAATCAGTCAATTTGTGATCAAACATTTTAATGTCAATATTGTGCTTAAATCATGCAATTTGCATTTGCATCAGGGTTATATCTCTATCATTCTCTTTAATTGAATGAAAAGATTCATATTTATAAACCTCAATTTAGGTCTAAATAGTATCTCAAGATGACAGCGAACCATAATTTCTGTCAAATTAGGATATATCAAATTGCTGGAAATTATACTCGTATTTGTGCTATTTGGTCCCTGTTTCGTCTTTCTTCTTCTAATTGAGTCCTTAGATATTGCAATTAGGCCTATCAACTTCCAAACACTTTCATCCCCAACTTCCCTATCATGTCTAACTCTAATCCTTTTTGATCAATTATTATTTATTTTCATCCGATTTTGTCCAATATTGGATTTTCTCCTAAAATAATCAATAAACATATAACGTTAAATATCTCGTTCATAAAATTACTTCCAAAGATCTTATTTGATGGCCAAGATATGTAAAATATTTACATATTTACACTTATCAACACCCTTTTTAAGCATTTTGGTTCGCAAAAATTTTATTTTTCAAGAAATAGTAGTAGATAAATGAATAGCATTTGTGGGTCGTACGAAATGTGTGATTTAAATTCGTATTAACTTTAAAAAGTAACTTGTTAGGAAAATATACAAACAGAGCATTAGATTCCTTGTGTATAAGATTTTTAGATATTAATTCTAAGGATAAATTACCCGTTGATTACATATCGAAATAATAATTATTATGTAGGGATTTGGCTACTGTGGACGTTTAATATGGAATCTCAAATTTGGATAGGTAATGATCCCGAAAAAATGAATTGATGCAGTTTCACAATCAAGATGCGTCCGACACTTATGAACCATATGGAGATCGCTAGATCGGCCTGATAATAATGCTATTTAGCACCAATTTAGAGGATGCTATGTGATTTACTCAACGAAAGGTGGAATTAAGTGACTCATATAATCTAGAGAGGTGCTACAAGTACAGCGGTCTATTTTACAGACCCCTGCCAGAACACACACATGCATGAGTCCCGATGTATTTTTTTTGTTTTTTTTCCAATGTGGGACCAACCCCTACAGTAAGGGATCGGTAAGGCTTTTGTAACTTATCATATAATACGACATTAGTACCATCTCAACTGGTGTTTTAACACCAGTGGTGCTAAAAAACATTACTCTTAATTTAATGTCTATTTGTTTATTATTAATTGACTCGAAATACTTCAGTCTCCTCTAATTTAATGTCTATTTGTTTACTTTCGTTTTGAGTTGTGACCACCCTTTTGTTTACAATTATGTTTTTACATTTCATGTTCGCTCGGGGGAATAATATATATATGAATGTGTTTACTTTTATGTTTTGAACATCTTTTAGTTTCTTCGTTTACTTCTTCCAGCTATCTCAAGGTGTTTTTCCTGTGGTTTAGTTCAGTGCTTGACTTTTTTATGCTTTATCATTATTAGGGTTGGGTTGATTCTGAATTTCAATTTTGTTGATTATATTCTATCAGGTATGAACATAGCAGTGAAGGTGTTTGATGATCTTGGAAAAATGGGTACGTCTGGGAGATACCAGCCACGTTTTGTGAAGCTTGGATTGACTTTAATTTTGTATTTATGCTGGTCTTTGTTGCTTACTGGCGCGGATAGACAGAAAACTCATCCTGCAGAAGGTAATTTCTGCTGTTTGAACCTGCAAAAGATGAATATTCTATAATGTTATAGGAAAATTGTGCATAATATCCAAGAATATTTTGTTCTTGTTTTTTGTTGGTGTAACTTACTTTGTGCATGTCTGCAATGTCAATGAGCAGTCCAAATATATTCTATTTCTTAATATAGGATATTTGATTGTATATAATTATACCTTTCCTAGAAGATTTGATCGTAATTTACTTTATTTAGATGCTATAATTCTATTATTTAAATGAGAAGCAAACCTCAATTTAGACATTCAAATCAATTGATGTGGTATCAGAGCCATACATCTCTTCAAAATATATGGCCTTACTCCCATAATTTAGGGTGGCCGAAAAATTTATTTCTATTGACACTTTTTGTGGGAACCATGAAGTCAGTCGAGGGTAGAGGCAGTTGGATTCTTCAGTTTTTTTGAGTACTCGACCTTTTTTTTTTTTGTGTGGAGCAGTTATGTTTTTTCTTTTGATTTTGGATATGTATAGAAATTTTTACTTGTAGCCAGGTTCCTTTTTCTGGAGTAGGTTTCTTCTTCAATTTGTGCTCAGCGTCGAGGTTTCTTTTTCATTTTTTTTAAAGGACTATCAGATTTTTATTATATTTTAACATAATAATGTCAAGCAAACACTCCGTTGTTCAGTTTAATAACAAAAATTATGTCAGTTGGGAATTTAAATTCCAAACGTTTCGTGATCTAGATGATCTCAAGGAACTTAACTCATGGGAAGGGAATGATGCCAAAATTGATTTTGGCTACTGAGTTCTATTGAACCCCATATGTTCAACAATCTTTGTTCATTCACTACTGTCAAAGAGATGTGGGATATCTTTCAGCAAATGTATTATCATGAATCCTGCCCAAAAATTCAATTGGAGTTAGATATCAACAAATATCGTCAATGGAATCTATCTATTGAATAATTTTACAATGGATTTCTCAATTTATGCAGTGATTACTTTGGGTTGGTATGGTCCAAGATTTCGAAAATACTGTATTGAATGCCTTACAAGATATCCATTCTGAAAGTCAACAAAATAAATTTTTGATAAAGCCATGGCTCGAGTTTCAAAGTATACATATTGGGTGAATCAATCGCGAACCCGTCCCATCTTTAGATGTCTATTTAGGGAAAAATCTTGAGTGAAGAATGGTGCCTTGCCTCCCAGGCTGGCAACAATCAAGAGGTTGTTAGTACTGAGATGGTCAATATGGCCTACACTGCTCAAGGAAAAAGGACAATCCAAATCCTTAACATAGTGTCCTAGTTGCGAGGAATCTTAACATATTGCAGCAAGAAGTTCTGCATCTATTGCAACAAAAAAGAGGGTCATACTATAAAATGTGGTCCTGTGCGACCTCAAAATCGATCGACCCCTGCTCTCCATACTACTATAATACTGCCTCCTACCAACCCGTTGTCTCGAGGAATTCTTTTACTCGTATGTTGAGCATGTTCGACATATGATTATTTCAGCTTCTCTGAGCCTTAGTCAATTGACTCTACGGCTTCCAGTCACATGACTGAAACTTTGAAGGTCCTACATGATGTTCGTGAGTATGATGATGAGCAACATATTCATTATTCAGATAGTTAATGGTAGTACCCTTCCTATTACTGCAGTTTGAAATATGAGGTTCTCATCATTGATTTTTTTTTTCTGTCTTCTCGATTTATCTACCAATTTAATTTCAATAGAACAATTGATAGAAGATATTTTGCTATACATTTTGATTGTAATGATAGTCGTGTGTCGATCAAGCGTCACGATAAGTGATAGGGAGAAAGCCTAAAGTGGGACTTCTTTTTACTTCTTCAGTCTTTTTCGTCCCTCGTTCCTTTTATATTAGTTGTTTTGTTGTTGTTAATAATAGCTATGTTTGGCATAATAAATTGGGCATTTTAACATATATTGTGAAACATAGTTTTTAAAATAATATGAATGACATTTTTCAATTGTCTTTAGATTGTGCCTCTGTAAGGTGTAATTCCAGAAATAACCAAGGTGATACTGGGCTCAGTTTCCACCATATATCGACACAACCTCGATTGAGACAACACCCAACTTCCACTTCCTTCCTTCCCACATACGGTTGCTATATATACTCACAAAGAGTCGGCCAAGATAAAGAACAATGTATAGCCCAAGAGAAACCATGCAGGTTATATGAAGGAAAGAGGCCGAGAATCAAAGTCACAGAAAGAGATGGAGTGTTCTTCATAGTGGAGGCGTAGAGGAGCCGTAGGTTATAAGCCAAATGAGTGACCAAAAATGGTAAGTTAGGTTACGTTAACTAAGTGGTCCAAACAAGGCTCAACACAAGGTAATGGGCTCCAAATGAATACCATAGCCCTCCAAGTAAATGGGACGAACTATGAGCAACACCATTAAAATAGGTTGCTTGTAATGGTCCATAGAGATGTGGGTTGGGTTGTCTCGATGATAGTGTCGACATATAATTCAATCATATGGCCAAGGCCGATTGATAATAAATAAAACTGAGGTTACATCATTACCCGGAAGGTCGTTTGACAACAAATTGCCCAACGACCTCCACCTTGGTGTCAAAGGACCTGCAAAAGAAAATGTCTCCCATTAGTGACACCTCTAATAGAAAACCAATAAAATTGAAAATCATTTACCTGTGCCAATGTTTAGAAGTTCCTTGCAACTTCTAAACTTTGTCAGTGGTAGTACCTTCATCCCCATATCGAAAGGGTTGTAGTGGGTGTGGACCTTTTCAAGTCTTACCACCTCTTGAGATATTATATCTCTAATGAAGTGGAGTCTAACATCAATGTGTTTAGTGCGCTCGTGAAAAATCGGGTTCTTGCACAAATGTATAGATGACTGACTATCAGAGTACACTACCACATAATCATTCAAGACACATAGTTCATGAAGTAGGCCTCTAAGCCATAGAGCTTCTTTGATAGGTTCAGTAGTAGCAATATATTCTGATTTTGTAGTGGATAGTGCAACAATATGTTGTAATTGTGATTTCCAACTAACACATGAATTAGATAGGCTATGTTGGATTTTATGCGCAATATTAAAAAGATGAAAGCGAAAATCAACACAAAAATTTTACGTGGTTCGACGATGTGCCTACGTCCACGAGAGCTTAGCGAAGCGAAGATTTCTTTATTCAGTTGTTAAAAATAGGGTTATAACATATTATTTATACTAACCTAGCCTGGGTCCATATAAAACTTTAAGGCTCGTATAGAAAATACCCCTGTATTGTACCGCGGGGGGTTGCCCCCGCACCCCCAACCCATTCAGCATCCCTAACAACCAGACGGTGAATTAAACCTGCGCAAGGCTGATGCCGTCGCTCCGCTCCTCTCACTCCAGTCCGCTCCGCGTAGGCATCGACCCATTTGATCCAGGACCTGTGTTCCACTTTATATGAGTCACATGCATAACAACACGTAAGACGAAGTGGATTTCTTACCATCCCTATCTCCTGCATAATCAGCATCTACAAAATCCTTTAATTTTATACCTTCTTTATCAGCACTAAATTTTAAACATACGTCACTTGTACCCTTCAAGTACTTTAATAGCCACTTTAGTGCTTCCTAATGTTCAGCGCCCGGATTAGCAATATATCTACTAAGAGTACTAACAACTAAACCTAAATTCGCTATAGTGCAAACCATCAAATACATTATGGAACCAATCACATTAGAGTGAGGCACTCTACTCATATATTCTACTTCACGCTCATTGCAAGGGGATTGTTCCTTCGATAAAATAAAATGATTAGCAAGAGGCAATGTGACAGGTTTGCAATCACTCATATTAAATTTCTTCAATACTTTGGATATGTATGGAGATTGATGCAAAAACAAAATGGAATTTGACATGTCTCTTTCTATTTCCATACCTAGGATTCTCTTAGTCTTACCTAGGTCTTTCATGTCAAATTCACCACTTAGTTTTGCTTTTATATTATTTATCCACTTAGAGGATGATCCAATCAAGAGCATGTTGTCCATATAGAGCAACAAAAACAGATAATTCATTAGTCTCATTGTGTTGAAAATACAAGTAGTGATCAAATTTACATCTTTGGAACCCTATAATGAGTACAAATGAATTAAACATCTTGTACCATTGTCTAGGAGAGTGTTTTAACACATACAAGGATCTTATCAGAAAATACACATAATTAGGTTTTGACTTATCCTTAATACTTTTTGGTTGATTCATGAAGATTTGTTCATCAAGCTCACCATATAAAAAGGCAATTTTTACATCAAGTTGTTCAAGTTCCCAGTCAAAGCGTACAACCAATGCGAGCATGACCTTGATAGTGGTGTACTTAACAATTGGTGAGAAAATCTCAATATAATCAACGCCCTCCTTCTGTGTGTAGTCTTTAGCTATAACCTAGTTTTAAACCTTAAGGGTTCCGAGCTACTAGTACCTTCCTTAACCTTAAAGACTCATTTGCAATCAACAATCGATTTGTTCTTAGGCCTAGGTACTTATTGCCTCTTCAAAGGTTTTTGGCTCTTTATCAGCTAGTTCTTCATAACTAGCTTGGGCGAAAGCTAATTCAGATTCAAAACTAAACCTTCTAGGTTCTCTCGTTTGTCTCCTCTCTCTATCCCTAACTAAGTTTTAGTTAGCTAAATGATTTTCTTTCTCATAGTGCTCTTCTATCACTACTTCATTACTATTCTCCACCTCAGGTTCCTGAACTTGAATCTCCACTTCATTAGGAGCAATAGGGGCAGGTATACTGAGCTTTCCTAACTCCACCTTAAACGGGTCTCTTTCTTTACCTGGTTCAGTTTCACTCTCAGGTTCAGTTTCCCCTTTAATACACGGAATCTCATTCTCGTTAAACGTGACATCCCTACTTATGGTGATCTTAACCCCTTTTTGGCTTCTATCCCATAACCTACAGCCCTTAACACCCTCGGAGTATCCTAGAAAGACACACTTCCTAGCTCTAGGTTCCAGCTTTCCCTCACTTTGATGAGAAAAAGATGTACAACCAAAAGTTCTAAGCATCGAGTAATCACTCAATTTACCCGACAATCTCTCATGCGGAGTGTCACCATTCAATGCAGCAGAAGAAGTCAGGTTAATCAAATAACAAGCAGTCATAACAACCTCATCCCAAAATGACTTGGGAACACCAGAACTTAACATCATGCAACGTACTTTATTAAGTATGGTCTTATTCATCCTTTCTGCTAGCCCATTTTGCTGAGGAGTGTAAGAAACGGTCTTATGTCTAGTTATGCCGCTTTCTTTATACATACTATCAAATTCCTTATTGTAGAATTCTAGGCCGTTATCTGTCCTTAAAAATTTGATTTTCTTGTCAGTTTGATTTTCCATTTGTCTCTTCCAATTGTTAAAACTATTAAAAGTCTCAGATTTATCTTTCAATAGATAGACCCACACTTTCCTAGTGTAGTCATCGATAATAGACAAGAAATACCTATTCCCACCCAATGTGGAATTACTAGCAGAACCCTACAGATCAGAGTGCACATATTCAAGCATGTCTTTAACTCTATTAACACTCTTGGAGAAAGAAGTTTTATGATACTTACCAAGTACACAATGATCACAAAATGACAAATCTGACACATGGTCATTACCAAAAGCACCTTTTTTATTAAGTAGCTTAAATCCCTTGATGCCTACGTGAGCAAGTCTATTATATCATGTGTGTGTGTGATCAATCTTGGTAGAAGAGATAGAGGAGTTCAAACCTCTAATTACTTCTCCAGTAGTAATATATATATCGTTTTTCTTAATTCCCTTAATGAAAACTAAAGCACCCTTGATCATTTTTAGCATACCATTTCCAATTTTACCAGTAAAGTCATCCTTTTCAACTCTCCCTACTGAAGTCAGATTCCTAGACATTTCAGGAATATATCTAACATCCTTTAACGTGTACATAAAACCTGTGTCAAATTTTACGTTTATGTCACCAATTCCAACAAATAGTATAGGCAAAGTTATCACACAGCACAACATGCCCAACATTAGATTCATGCAATTTATAAAACCAATTCTTCTCAGACGTCACATGAAAAGATGCACCAGAGTCAAGTATCCACTCATGCATGCGGGAATTAGCAGTTAGATTTAATTCAGCAGTATATGCAACGAGACTTGTTATCATATAGACCTCACCACCATTTATATCGGAAGTAGATGCTAACACATTGACCTCGTTTCTCTCCTTAACCTTTAGCTTACCCTTCTCCCTATGACAATCTTTTATAAAATGCCCCGTGTTTCCACAATCATAGCATTTTCTTGCCTTAATCCTAGATTTTAATCTAGACCTACCTTTGCTCTTCTTTTTCCATCCATTACCACTTGACTTGTCACTAATTTGATATCTATCATGACTATTTTGCCTAAATTGAGTTCTACCCAGCATCATATGTACCTCACCGTTCCTCTTATCGTGTTTTTCAACCCTAATTTTCATTTCTTTACTTCTAAAGGAGTCTATGACAATTTCAGGTGTCAACGTGTCTCTACCATACTTAATGGTGTTCTTAACTTCCTTATAGGAATCCGAAATTGCATTGAGCAAAATTATAGCTTTATAAGTTTCGGACACAGTCTCATCACAATTAACTATATCTTGCATCAATTTGTTAAACACGTCTAAATTGTCATCGAGATCTTTTGAAGGATCCATTTTAAAACTGAAAAAATGTTCGAGCAAGTAAAGTTTATTTGGTGTAGACTTAAGAAAATATAAGTCTTCCAATTTTTTTCAAATTTCTTTAGTGGTTTTCAGTTTACCCACTTTTTTTAAAATGGCGTCAGAAGAGTGTAAAATAATTGAGGTATAAGCAAGCTCATCGACTTCTTCCCTTTGTTCTTGTGAAATATCAGTTGAAAAATTGCCTTCAATGACCTTTGAAACTTTTTGTTGGACTAAAATGCCCTTCTTTTTTGTTGCCAAATAGCAAAATCACCATTTCCATTAAAAATCCCCAAATCAAAGTTGTAAGTTGTCATCTTTACACAATAGTTAAAGAGTGCACAAAAAAACAATCAAACCACACAAAGTAGTCTTAGGGTTTCAGATAATATACGCCGTTCAAGATTCCCAGGGTTTCGTAAGACTCGGGATCTTAGATCAAGGGAATGTTCGAAAACGGGTAAGGTCACGATAATTCTAATGGAATGGATAAGCAGCGGAAATAACAATGCAACAAAAAAAACTACGTCTAACAGATAATTAGTTTCACGACAGTTATGTTACTGAGGCTCAAATACTGATTTAACTAAAAGACAAATACTCAATCAAATAATCAAGAGCACGTAACCCTAATTCTAGCACAAGCAATGGCAACCCCCAAACCTAATGATCACCCCACCCGATGATCTGCTAGTGCAAAAATATAAAGGTTTCAACCAATTTACCAGAGCGGACCTATCTGAGTCCGTAACGTGAAGAGATGCGAATTTGCTGCTTTAGGGCTACCACTATTCGCCCTAAAGGTTTAGCAAATATAACAGTTCGTTCAACAACAAATGCAGATTGTAATCAGGGTAAAATCGTCCAAAATTTTCTGCACAACCTGAAACACTAAACCAAACACATTAGTACGTTCATAAAATTAAAATAATTGAAATGGCACAAAAAAACCACGTAGGAGGTCTTCCACACGCCGCCGCCACCGTCGATCGTCGCCGCCGCCACCGTCGATCGTCGCCACCACGTGCCTCTACCTACTGGTTATGGGTCCGGCCTCCGTTCGTCCAACGAAGGTCACGTTTGGTCGGAATAAGCAGTTGCAAGATGACCTACGCTCTGACCTAGTTATAAGGTGTAATTCTAGCAATAACCAAGGTGATACCGCTCAATTTCTACCATATATCGACACAACCTCGATTGAGACAATACCCAACTTCCATTTCCTTCCTTTCCACATACGGTTGCTATATATACTCACAAAGAGTCAGCCAAGATGAAGAACAATGTATTGCCCAAGAGAAACCACACAGGTTATATGAAGGAAAGAGGTTGAGAATCAAAGTCACTGAAAGAGATGGAGTGTTCTTCATAATGGAGGCGTAGAGGAGTCGTAGGTTATAAGCCAAATGAGTGACCAAAAATGGTAAGTTAGGTTAGGTTAACTAAGTGGTCCAAACAAGGCTCAACACAAGGCAGTGGGCTCCAAATGAATACCATAGCCCTCCAAGTAAATGGGACAAACCATGAGAAACACTATTAAAATAGGTTGCTTCTAACGGTCCATGGAGATGTGGGTTGACTTGTCTCGATGATAGTGTCGACATATAATTCAATCATATGACCAAGGCCGATTGATAATAAATAAAACCGATGTTACATCATTGCTTGGGAGGTAGTTTGACAACAAATTGCCTAACAGCCTCTTATAAACTTTGTAAATGCAAATCGTTACCTTTTCCACGATAGGGTAGTCGTACTTTTATATGTTTTGAGATTGTTTAAAATGATGTTTGGGGTATAAGGTTTTGCAATTCGACTTTGGCTATAGATTTGCATCTTTTCTACAACAAAAAACTATATTATTCCTTAGTGTTCGTGTCCTTACATTCCTAAACAGAATGGGATCGTTGAGCTTATGAACCAATATCTTTTAGTATCGCTAGCTAGTAGGGAGTTTGAATTATTTGAACATTAATTGACTTGGTATCTCTTTCATTGTCCAACATATCAATCAGTTTATGCAAGCTCTTTGTCAACCCCATTTAGCTACTGTTTGTCATGTTCTTTGCTATCTCAAAGGCACCGTTGATCATGATTTGTTCATTATTTTGGAACTTATTTTCAATTGGTGGGATTTGGACTGATACTCGCCATTCTATCACAACTTAGTGTATATTTCTTAGTGGTGCACTTATTTCTTGGAAAAGTAAGAAGTAAGCTTGTGTCTCGAAGTCTTCAACTGAGTTTGAATATTGGGTCATGTCATCAGGAAATGGTATGGCTTTAGGATTTGTTGGGGAAATTGGTGATTCACAGATTTTTCCTACTCCTCTTCTTTTTAATAATACAATTACTATTCAGATTGCTAGTAATTCATTCTTTTATGACCATATCGACCATATTGACGTAGATTGACATTCTATTCGTGAAATGCTTGGTGGCCATGTGATTTCTCTTCCTCACATCTCTAAAAAAAATCAAACAAATGATGTCTTTACCAAAGTTCTATCTCACATCCCCATCAATTTATGGTTGACAAATTGATGTTTATTGATCGTCCAACATCAATTTGAGGGGAATGTCAAAGAGTTGTCCAAAAATATTTTATTTCCTAATATAGGATATTTGATTGTACTTTCTAATCTAAGACATTTGACGATACATAATTATACCATTCTTAGTATAGGAGAAATAATTGTAATTTATCTTCTTTAGAGGTTGTGTTTCTATTATTTAAATGAGAAGTAGACCTCAATTGAGGCATTCAAACCAATTGATATGCTATACTATATTAGATCGCACTGGACAATGGCAAGTAGATTATTATTAATTAGTTTGTCTTTTTGGTGAAAGATGATTGGAGTCAATTGAATTTGATTTTGATGTATGTCTCCTTATTTATCTAAACGTTTGATTTTATTTTGTGTAGAGTATTAACTGATTTCATTTTTCATTTGAATCTTTATTTATTTTTTTAAAAAAGGAGAAGGAGCAAAATAACCGGTATTTTCCCCCTTTAATTCATTGTTTAAGTTGAACACATCACTCAATCCGAGTATTGACACAAAAACGGCCAAGTTAATTTTATGAGCAATTCCTTTTGTCCAATATTCCATTCTCCTAATGTTGGTGAACTGTTATTATAATATTAAGAGTGATAAAAAAACAAATATAATCATGAAACCTAGATAAGGTTTGTTCAGTTTCACGAACATATATATATATAACCATGATAAGTTTTAAATGTTGTCTGCAGTGAATGCATTGAGAGCCATCAGAGAAAGTTTGACCGATCCATTTCAGAATCTTAAAAACTGGAAAAGGGGGGATCCATGCACTTCAAGTTGGACCGGAATTTTCTGCTATAATATTACACCGGATGATGGTTTTCTTCATGTCCGAGAATTGTATGAAATTCTTTTTATGCTCCATCCAACTATTTTAATAGACATAAAATTACTTAACATATAACATTTCCTGGCAGGTCATTACTGAATATGAATCTGCATGGAAATTTATCTCCAGAACTTGTCCATCTATCTCATATGAAGATAATGTGAGTTAGATGTATTTCGTTCTGCTCTTTTCCAATAGCATTTGTGTACGTTTTTTCAATTAATCATCTTCTGCAGAATGGTAGCTTTCTTTTGCTTTTCAATAACTATTTTTCTTAATCATAATAGGGATTTTATGTGGAACAACATTAGTGGGACTATACCAAAGCAGATAGGCAACATTACAACGTTAGAATTGTTGTAAGTTGAAAAAAGCTCTTTGCTCACTCTCTTCCCTTTTCTAAATAAACACTCGTTCTACTTCGTATAATGTTCGACTAGTGTTTCTGGAAATAAGGGCTTTTATATCCATGCTCCGAAGTGCTTCAGATTTAATGCTAAGTCATGTCAAGAAGCGTAACAAATCTGAATCATTTGGGAAAAAATATCCTCTCTTTTGGATAATATTGACATGTTTATATTATGAGCATGCTTGTCTTGGATTAAAAACCTTTTTTTATAAGTAAATAGGTAAGTTTTAAAATAAATAAATCTATAAAAGTTGCAAAAAACTTTCTTATTTTGACACTGAACTAGGTTACTTACAAGAAAAGTAAATTTTTATACATAAATGTAAGAATTTATTCAAGTATGGTTGGGATGTAAAGTTACTTAAAAGTGCACTATATTCTGCATTGCGGTTTTCTTTCTCTGGTTTCAGGCTTCTCAATGGAAACAAACTAACAGGCCCCTTGCCTGATGAGATTGGTAATCTCCGCAACTTGGACAGGTTGCAAATTGATGAGAACCAAATATCTGGTTCAATACCGAAGTCATTGGCGAACTTGAACAAAGCAATGCACTTGTAAAATTTTCTGATTTCTGGATTAATATCATTTTATTTTTCAGTTTTTTCATTCTCATCTTTTCATTTTAATTTTATTTCTTTATACTGTGAACAGCCACATGAATAATAATTCTCTCAGTGGAAAAATACCGCCAGAGCTCTCTAGATTGCCACAACTTGTTCATTTGTGAGTTGAAAACATGATTTTCTTATCGATTCCACTCATCTAATCATCTGATGTTAGTTAAAGATTTAATATACCGCAGGTTGCTCGATAATAACAACTTATCGGGACATCTTCCACCAGAACTTTCTGAAATGCCAAGGTTAATGATACTGTATGTATCTTGCTTCAATAGGATACATTTACTTTTGTCTATTCCTTGATATTAAGTTTTTATTCCTTTTATTTACTGTTGTATGAAATAAAAATGTCAATATTTCTTCTGGGGATTTACTGGAAAAATCTCTGAACATTGAAATTTGACTTTTATTTTTTCCAGTCAACTTGATAACAACAACTTTGAGGGGAGCACAATACCTCCTTCTTATGGGAACTCATCTACCTTAACGAAGTTGTAAGTATATTCTATTCATTTGTGCTCCAAAACACATTTATAGGTAAAGATAATCGATGGTTCACGATCAGCATTCAAGTCATATGCACCAGAAGGTCGAGAATAAATTTTATTACAATTTGCTTTTGTTGGCTGTATCAGGAGTCTTAGGAATTGCAGTTTGCAAGGGCAAATTCCTAACTGGAGCAACATGACAAATATTGCTTATATGTAAGTTGTTATACATTAGATGTATGTTTGGTATGCTGGACTGGATAATAGACAAATATCTTAGATATTTTAATATTGTCCAATATAGTCCATTCTACCAAGCAAGCCCATATGCTGTAGAATGATGATGCAGTGTCAGAGATGTTGACATAATCCTTAACATAATGTTACATTGCATTCTATTATTGAATTGTATAAAACATAGTCAATTTTTTCATTCAATCATATCTTGCCTACACCCATTATGTCAAGATATCTATCTACATCTTTCTGACAAAGTAGCTTGAGTTCTGCTAAAAAAATAGGCTCAATGATAAGGTTTTTTGACAGACGTACACTTGGTAAATTTCTGTTGGCAGTTAAAAAAAATTAAACAAAAAACTGTCAAGTTAGTCCTTGGAAAAAAGCACTGTCATTGAGCTTGTTTCTTCAGCATTTTCCAAGTGGCTTTACCTATGCTGTAAATTTAGCTATGCTGCGCCCTGACCTTATAAGTTTGTGTTTAACCTTTGAGATAATATGGTCTCTAACTGGTATTTCTTCATCTAATTATCATGCTCAATTCAGAGATTTGAGCCTAAACAAGCTTAGTGGAACAATACCAACAGGTGTGCTTCCTGAGATTATGACAACCATGTAAGGACTCAATTTTCTCATTGATTGTTTTGGTTCTTAAATTGAATTACGTCGGAACTGGTATTACAGGGTTTGCCTTGGAAAAACATGACTTTCACTTTTGGAACTAATACTTAGTTTCAAATATGCAGTGATCTATCGAACAACAATCTTAATGGAATTATTCCTGCAAGCTTTTCAAGGCTTCCCCTTTTGCAGAAATTGTAAGCACTCTTAGACTTCTTAATCAATTTGGTGTTCTGGAAATGATTTAATTCTAAATTTAAAGGTTCCAAGTTAATCTTCATTCACGTCCAGTTATTGCCCAAGGTATAGTTATCTTGATCCTTCTCCAAGAATGTGATGAACTGAATATTTGTCATCATTTCTCCTGCAGGTCACTAGCAAACAATTCATTAAGTGGTTCAGTTCCATCCACCATTTGGCAGAATAGAGCTCTCAATCAATCTGATACACTCCTCTTGTAAGACCTAAAACAGGAAAAGAATTATGCCTTTCCTACCTATCATTGATCCTATTAATTTCCCTGAGGCTTAGGTATTGGTCCACCCTGCCAACCTCCAGGCAGGGGCGGAGACAGAAGACTAGAGTTGTGGGAGCAAATTTCACAAAATTTTAATTATGGGGGACAAATTTAAAATTATAAGGAATTTTTTTTTGAAAATCTTGAAAATTTATAACAAAATCTTGCATTTCAAATTTAGTGTTGTCCCACCCCCCAATACAGATCCGCCCCTGCCTGTAGGGGCAATGGAATAAAACTGTCACGGGAATTTGAGGTTGAAGCTAGAGTTTCATTATCTCCATCATACTGAAACTAATCATTTAGAAAAATGCTTCTTGTACACCTCTCTCACATGAGAGGGGACTCACATTGATTAAAAAATTTGTGAGCCCCCTCACATGTGAGAGGGCTGTAAGGGGGCTGTACACTAGAGTGTAAAACTCTACAATCTATGTACATGTAGCATCCTTCAATGGTTTAATAGGACAAGATGTCAAAGTGTTCTGATTTATTATCTCACTCATGCAGTTATGATTTCTGACATCGCAGGGATTTTCGGAACAATAAGTTTTTAAATATTTCTGGCAGTCTTGTCCTACCTCCAAACGTCACTGTTAGGTTCGTCCAATTATCACTTTGAGCCGTGATGCCTTTTTTCCTTCTGAATTGGACACTTATAAAAAATGGAAGTTCTAATTTTATACAAGATTGAAACTTAAGATATTGAAGTATATTTTCCCCCTCCTTCATCAATATAAACATTTTCAGCCTTCAAGGAAACGTTGTTTGCTCCAAAGGCGATCTGATTCAGTTCTGTGGATCCTACAAAGAAGAGTTTAACGAGAATTTGAACCGAACAAGTTCCAATGTCTGCCTTCATCAATCATGTCCACCTCATTATGAGTTTGTCCCAGCATCTCCTGCTGGTCACTGCTTTTGTGCTGCTCCTCTGCTTGTTGGGTATCGTTTAAAGAGTCCCGGGTTCACAAAATTTTTGCCGTATAATGATAAATTTGGGCATTACATAAGTGATGCTCTCAATTTGACTATTTCCCAGTTTGACATAGATTCAGTTGCATGGCAAAGTGGACCTCGACTGGGAATGTATCTGAAGATTTTTCCGGCAGACATAAACAAGAGTATTAAACTGTTTAATAGGAGCGAGGTCCTCCGAATTCGTGGTTTGTTTGGTGGATGGAACATTCATGGTAACGAAGTCTTTGGACCTTTTGAGCTGCTCAATTTCACGCTTTTGAAACCTTATAAAGATGGTTCGTCTCCTTTCTCATCTGGCATGTTCCACTAAGGATTTATTTACAGATAAAAAAGTCTTCTGGACCATGTTAACTCGCTATCTGCCTTTTATCTGCTGAGGAAAAGGATTATCTTCATTACATTTTATTTATGAACTAAAATCATTGTCTACTCCAAGCTTCTAAAGAAACAATATATCTATTTGCATGCTTAAAAAATGTACCAGGTAGCTTGTTACAGAAAATGTTACCTTAGTCCATGCTTAAGCTGTCAACTAAAGCTATTATAAGAGGAAAATGGAGACATTTTTTGTGTTGGAAATGAGCCATTGTTTTATACTTACGGAGATGGTGGCATTCTAATTTTTACTTGTACAAAATGGCAAGAATCAGCTCTGGTGCAGTGCTATTTGTCAAAAATCAGGACACTGAAAAGGTAACTGATTTTCCAATCCAACATGAAGTCATCAAGCAATAACATGGATAATTTTTTCGAACTTTAACTATTACATTTGATTTGTACCGGAACTATGGGCCTAGTTGAACTGAAGAAACCAGAATTAATCACATGCATTCATTATCTCCCAACATCTCTGTTTTGTATTGTTGTTATATAGATGCCTGAATTTTTTGGCTCTCATTTTTCAGTAATCTCTTTCGTGGGCTTTTGTCATTTTTGCTTATTTTTCAGGAGATGTTCTAAACTGCTAATTTTTTTGCAGAAATTTCCTCTTCATCATCTGGTATAACCAAGGGAGCACTGGCTGGTATAATACTCGGGACAGCAGCAGGATCTGTAATACTATCTGCTGTTGTGTTCCTTGTTTTTGTCAGATCGCACTTGAGGAGACAACGTACAGATTCAAGAAGACGTCTATGTAAGCATCTTACAATCCCTGGTAGATATTGGTAGGTAAATATAATTTTCTTTGTGATTTCATGGCTTATACTGTCATCCATGGAATTATTTTGATTGACTCTTCGCCAAACGTTAAATATTCATGCTATAGGTTTTCCAGAAAAGTTGCACGATGCCATTATAATTCGCATAAAGTATTCTGGCAGGAACCTGCTTCTTAATTTAAATAACTGAAGTTCAGATTACATTGATGATACTCCTACAAAGTTAAACAAAAAAATCCTGAGTATAAAAGGAACGGAACCAGACCAGATCGGATCAAAAAGGAGATCAAATGGCAAAGGAAATGAGGGAAAGGAGGAGATGAATTGATTTGTTGAAAATAAAAAAGAAAAAGAAATGAATCAAAGGAGAAGAGAGGCAACAATGATTGAGGGGCCTAATTCAATGACATAAAGAAATTAGGGTTGAGATGGTGGGAGTAATATTTGGTTAATAGATGAAGTTCTCATCCGTAAAAGGGGCTGCATACTATTGTTTTTGAGTGTGGTATAGTAATTCAATATGACTTTCCTTCCCAATTTTCACATACACATTCAGACATACATATGTATCACACATTTATACTCAACACACAATCCATTTTCTTGGTTTTTGCACTGAAATCTCTCATTTCATTCTATTGCAGCATCAAGGACCTCCATCAAAATCGATGGGGTAAAAGATTTTACTTATAGTGAAATGGAAGTTGCAACGAATAATTTTAATAGCTCAACCTTTGTTGGAAAAGGAGGTTACGGAAAAGTTTATAAAGGCGTTCTTGCTGATGGAACTATCGTAGCCATAAAGCGTGCTCAGGAGGGATCATTACAGGGTGAAAAGGAGTTTCTTACCGAAATAGAATTACTATCAAGGCTACACCATAGGAATCTGGTGTCATTGGTTGGATATTGTGATGAAGAAGGTGAACAGGTACCCAATAATTTAGATATTTGGCAAAGCTTAATCAAAGTAAAAATTACATTCAACATTTTTTGATAACTTACTTTTCTCTACTTTTTAAATAAAATGAGGTACTTAATGTGAAAGTAACTATTTCCTTACTGTCACAATAACTAACTTATTTTCAAATTCAAGCCTGTCCAGGTTTTGAATGGTGGTCTTAGGAATTTTTCAACATAATTTTGATTGATTCATTCACCCATGAGATATGTTTACTTACTACTAGGATCTGCCTGAGGTTTGATTGGTGGATTTTGGAAGAACATTCCCCATTTTCTTACTCTCTAGGATTCATAACATTTCTTCAACAAAATTAAAAAGCTTTTTCTTGATCTGATATCCAGCTTCATATAATATAGCTTAGATAAATTAATACAGAAAGTGTAGGGAATGGCTACATGGAAGAAAAGATTTCTTGCTGTCCCTATTGAGAGTCCTGATATGACGAGAAGAAAGGATAATGTTTATTGTAGGAAGAGCATGCGGCAAGATTACAGCACTTAACTTTTCACAGTTCATTTCAAACGGCTTTCTAAATAGCTTGCTTCTTCTTCTAATATGAACTCAGGACTCCCAGAACAATGACAAAAAGTGCTCGAAAGCTTAAATCTATCTGCTTTAAATTTTATAATCTTCCGGGAGAGCAACAATTTTTTTTCCAATATATCTTCAAATTGTTGTTATAGATGTTGAATTTCTCTTGGTTTACCGTATTTTTCATGGTGCAGATGTTGATATATGAATTCATGTCCAATGGTAACTTGAGAGATCACCTATCGGGTAAATTTGAACTCGTTCTTTTTAAATTGGTATTGTATACGTTTAAATAATTTGTCATATGTGGTTGGCTAGATATTTTTGAAAGCATCCTAACCTGCATCGAGCCTCTTGGGCAAAAAAAATTTATGGAATTTTTTTTTTTTTTTTTTGTTGACGGGCACATAGTTGAGAACTGAAAATTTTATGTATTAAATCAGATGTTAGTGTTTGCTGTGTTAGCAAGTTTTTAATGTTTGAGATATCACAGGTAAATTAAAAGTTCATTTGACTTTTGCTATGAGACTGAGAATTGCATTGAGTTCAGCCAAAGGCATCCTTTACCTACATATGGAAGCCAATCCTCCAATATATCATCGAGATATCAAGGCAAGCAACATATTATTGGACCCTCGATTTACCGCCAAAGTTTCCGATTTTGGACTATCGCGACTTGCTCCAGTTCCCGACTTTGAAGGATTGGTGCCTGCTCATGTATCTACTGTAGTTAAAGGGACGCCGGTAAGTATGATTGCACGACCGAGCTCAAATATGTATCCTTTCATTTAGTTTTCCAGTAGAACCACTGGATTCAACAGTGAAACCAGAACAATTCTAATTCGATTCATTTTATGTGCTACTCAAAAATGTAATGCATGATTTTTTGTAGGGATATCTTGATCCAGAGTATTTCCTGACTCATAAGTTAACTGACAAAAGTGATGTCTATAGTCTTGGAGTTGTATTTTTGGAGCTCTTAACTGGGATGCACCCAATCTACGAAGGCAAAAACATTGTCAGGGAGGTACTATCTAGCTACTTTGTTATTGTTCTAGGTGCATGTTTATCAATTTACTTTTAAACGAACAATTTTTTTTAACATATTTGTTGGTCAAAGTTGGAAATAAGCAATAACCTATTTTGACCATATGTAAGAGTTACTTTTACAAGAAGTAATTTTTTACTTGAAAGTAAGAAGCTAGCTCCGAACTTGTTTGAACGAAAAAAACTTGCAATTTTACATTTTTTAAAAGACCAGTCGAACATGCACGTGTAAAATAGAAAGCAATATGAGTGAAATTTTGTGATGTCATATTTTATACCATCTTATGGGTCCCTTTGGCATGACTTTTGCTTCCTATCGAAAAGTTTTTGAGAAAGTTAACTTAGTTTTTGTTTGGAAGCTAATGTTTAAAAAAAATTCCTATCCCAAAAGTGCTTTTAGAGGAAGTTACATTGACTAGCTCCCTCTAAAAACTCTTCTAATTAGAAGATTTTTTAACAATTAGTCAGACAAGTTCAAAAGCAAGTTTTGGGTCTTAAAAGCCTTTTTGGCTTTTCTAAAGTCATGCTAAACTAGCCCTAATTACCGATGCAAAATGATTCTATTTTTTTACCAGTCCGTTCATAACTGTATGCTGTTTTACTAATCTTCCCCTCTAAAAAAACGAGTTGCTGGATGATTAACTTTACTTAATCGTCGTCCATTTTCATCAGGTCAACATTGCATATTCTTCTGGTATGATATTCTCTATCATCGATAAACGGATGGGATCTTATCCTTCTGAATGTGCTGTGAAATTCATAAAGCTGGCTCTTAACTGTTGCCACGATGATACAGACACTCGACCCTCAATGGTCGAAGTGGTTAGAGAACTTGAAAGCATATCGTTAATGATGCCAGAATCCGATAACATCATTTCAGAATCCACACTATCTGATGCTGAGAAGGTTTTCACTCCAACATCTTCGTCTTCTACAGTAAAAACTTCTAACGTTTCGGAAGATATTTCTAGCAGTAATCTTCTAAGTGGAGTCTTTCACACCGTTAAACCTAGGTAATGTTTTTACTTGCCACACCTTTCCTGCTTTGGTTAATGGGAAATTAACCAGAATCTGTACGGTCTATAATATGTTTAATTTTATCTGTAACATGAGAATATAAGTGGTCTTATGCCTAGCATTCCAGGGAGCCTCTTAACTATAGTTTGGAGGATATACTCTAAAAATGTGTATAAATAAAAATCATTTTAATTGTAACACTGTACAAGACATGAATACAGTTCCTTTCTATATATATCCTATGTTTTTTTTTATTAAACATATGAAAATATTGTCGTAATATTCTCCATGATATTTTTATTCTTCGTTATTAGTTGTTCATGTGTAGGGTTGTTTTATATTAGCGATTAATTAGCTCCTATTATTTTATTTCTTCCGAAATGAAGAAATGGGGCAATTTGTCCTTTCACATCCACGCCCCACTAAAAAAATATTTTAGTGATAGGATATGTGGCTCTTCAGAAATATAGGAAATCATTTTTCCTATTTTCTTGACATCGCTACTCTTGGTTTGATTGTGTAATTAGTACTCAATGTTTTCTCGAATATTCATCCACAACCTTATAATGAAGTTGTTTTATTAGTATTCTTAGATAAGAATACTTGTACAAATTATGTTCTTATATACTGAAAGGGTGTTTGGTGGGGATTTTAAGTCAATTAAAATTAATTTTTTTGATCCTTATTTCACTATTCCAACCGTCATTTTTGAATTCTTCTCTTATAGGTAGGATTCACCTTTATCTCCAATGATCAAAAAATCAATTTTCAAAATCTCTATCAAACACCCTTTGACTTTTTAGTTTCTTACGACTCTCTCCCTATGTTCTTACTTGTCAATCAACATTTCTCAAAGAATTACATATATGTATAAGATAAATGCTCTTCTGAATGAAGAAATCCGATTACTAGGCCATTGAATGAGCATAGGGGCCATTGAGGAGGGGGGATTTTTCTAAATGGCCTATCACTATTCATTCTTGCCAAAATATGTATAATATCCTTAATGAAATGACTTGTCATATTTTGCACAAAATATCCTGATTTATTGGGATAGTTCCAAAATTCTTCTATTTCTCTCATTTCTAATTTTAATATATAGTTTCATCCTTTGATCTAATAAAGTAGCATAATCTGTAATATAATTGTCAGATAATTCTTTAAGATTATCATATTTCTTAGATGATATATCCATAGTCTCTAGTTGAGAAAATATACTTTTTATTTTTTCTAATAGTCTTTCTAACAGATTATCTAATCCCTTAATTGTATAGCTTGGCATCATATAGATAATTCCAAGCTTTATGATAATAATAACATGATAGATAAGTTTTTGCAAATATGATAAGTAATAATCCCTACGATTCTTTCAAGATATTGGAAGAATTCTTTCTAAATTTAACAAAGACAATAATTTTATCTTACTTATGATCTCAAATCTGTATTCTTAGAACCGAGTGACCTTCAAGCTCTGAATCTGCAAACTGCTCCCTCAAACGGCCTTTTGCCTCAATGGGAATTCTGCTATTTCAGCTTCTTGCCCTCACTGTATCTTTTTTTAGAATTAAGAATAAGGATCTTAGTAAAGAAAATTCTCTCTTTGTTAAAGTAAGAAAGAAATTATCTTTTTCAATCTGTCAAGAATCTATGGGATAGGAAGTTTAGAAGCTCATATTTTTCTAATATCAAAAGATTGAAATTTTATTTATATAATGATATATACAAGGTTTCTATTGTATACAAGGGGTTTCCAGAAAAACTGGTTTTAAACAAAGCTTAAGGAAAGAGAATGATTTCTGACTCGAGATGATCCATTTTCTCCCAAAGACCTCTATTTATACATGACTCAAACTTACTATTATTGGTCTATTACATTATTGCATACATCAGAATTTGAAAAAAGGCTCACATGCCTCTTTATTCTTTTTCTCCTGGGGTCTACATTTTCACATGCGGTTTTTTCTTTTTCATCAGAGGGACATCCTTTCCTCTATTATTGCCTCTCAATCTTTGGCTCCATATGCAGCTGGTTAGATGCTTTGGTAGTGGTAGGTCCCCTTTTATTTTTCTTCATTCATCTTTTATCTTAAAGAATCAATCTTTTAATCTTGTCTGCATGTGGGGCACTCCCTCAATCTGCATGATTCTTGGATTGTTGTAGGACTTCCATTAATTTGATGAGTATCAAATTTCTAGATATATTCTTTCAAAATAGTAGATTTTTCTTTTCCATTATTCGTAAGGAGTGTCCATCCTTCATATTGGAACAAGCATCTGAATTTTTTATCATATAAGTTCTTTGCAATGTTGTAAAGAACTTTCATCCCCAAAACTCTTCGGGATTTTATCCATGATTTATTGATTTTAGGCAATGATTTATTATTTCGGCCAACTTCAATCTAGAAATCTCGGCCAATATATTCAATTGTGATAATATGTTCAGCAGGATAGTATATCCTTCCATCAACCTCGAGACTTATTGAATAAAATTTGGTATAAATCGATCTCCCTTGGGCAAATTTTGAAACTTCTGCCCTGAATATATCATCAAATTTTTCAATTTCTTTTAAATCTTTTCCTGGATAGATCAAATCCAGAAATCCATAATCTGCTGCCATTTTGATCATGAAAGGGTCTGCATCTTTGGTAATTATTAATCTGGGATAAACATGATCTCCCGATGCAATAAAATATGATTCATTTTCTTCCAATTCATAAATAATTTTGGCAAATGGTCTATATTCTTCTTCTTTTGATGATAAAGGGGTATCATCATTTTCATCAGTTTTGATTCTGATAACTCTTGTATGTTCATCGCCATTTTTTATAATCACCTTCCGGGGACTTGCTATATCTCGTTTGATATTGCTAGGTCCACTGCTGATTCCTGGCTGTGTACCTATTTGTATTTTTGAGATTGTATCAATTGGTATTTCCTGTTTGGTATTTAATGACTCGAATTGTGAAGTAATATCAACAATTCTGTCATTCAATTCTTTGGTATATTTGGAATGAGAATTAGAGATTTCCACCAACAATTTGACATTTTGTTGGATAGATTCTGCCATTTGCTCTAATTGCTCAATTCCAATTTTCATATCTTCTGATTCTTTCATGAGGAATTTCATTCGTCTGTTGACATCTATTAATGAATTTTTGATATTATCTATCTCCGAATTCGATATTCCTGCTCAAAAAATCTGCAAGATAATTATTTATTCCTTTAATATGAACAATATAAAAATTGTAGAATGATAAATATGCTTGCCATCTGTGTAACATTCTATATTGAGGTTCCATATGTAACTTATTTCTAATGAGCCCTGCAACTTGAGAATTATAAGTTTCAACAATAAATTTTTTAGATAAAAGGAATAATGAAAATTTTTTTATTCCTCTAATAATTGTTAACAATTCTTTTTCATGAGTAGTATAATTTATTTCTACTTGATTAAAAGTTTCACTTGAACATCTGCATATTTCATTTAAATCTGTTTCTAATATAGCTGCCCAATATTTATCCGAGGCATTAGTATTAACAATTAAATTATCTTTTTCATCTGGTAATCTTAGTTTTGGTAAATTTTTACATTCTTCTTTTAATGCTTTAACAATTTCAGTATGTTCTTTATTCCAACCTTAAGTATTTATTTTTCTAAGTAGAATTTATATCTTATGTCTCTTTTTTTAGAGATTTTCAATAAATCTTTCAATGTAGTTTAAACATCCTAAAATTTTTTTGTATTTATTTTTTGGATTTTAATTCATCTGAAAAGCTTTCTATCTTTTTAGATATATGAGTTTGTAATTTTATTCCTTTTCTATCTATTGATAATCCCAGAAAATCTATTTCTTATTTCTCAATTATAGATTTCTTTTTAGAAAGTACAATTCCTTCCTTTTTGCATTCATTTATAAATTGTAATAAATAATTCCTATGTTCCTTTTTATTATTAGAGCATACTAATATATCATCTATATAAACAATAAGAAAATCACTATACTTTTTGAATATATTATCCATTTTACTTTGAAATATTTGTGGTGCATTTTTTAAACCAAATGGCATAACTAATCATTCATATTTTTCTTGAAGTGTACTAAAAGCTGTATATTGTATACTGTCTTCTTCCATTTTTATTTGCCAAAATCCTGATTTACAATCAAATTTGGAATAATATTGTTTTCCTTTTGCAAGATTTATTAGGACTTCTTTATTTGGTAAAAAGTAACAATCAAATTTAGTATATTTATTTAATTCCTTATAATTTATTACCATTCTAGCTTTTCCTCCAATCTGCTCAGAATGTTTCATAACCATAAAAACTGGACTACTATGAGGTCCATTACTGGGTCTAATTAGCTTTTATTCTAATAGTTCTTTTATCTGAATTTTAAATTCTTGCATATCTTATAAGGTATACTTCATTGGTCTAATTCTTATTATAACATTTTCTATTAATTCTATTTTAGTTTTAGGATGATATGGTTTCCAAAATAATAATGGGTTTTCTCCATAAATTTTTTCTAATTGTTCTATGATTTTTTCCATACTTATCTCTATTTATGTTTTTAGGATCTTTTTATATGATAGTTTTTTATTTTTTAGTTCATCTTGTACTATTGGTCATTTTTCTCATTTATCACCACGCTGGGCTGGCTGAACTAGGGTCTAAACTCTCTTGGTATTTTTAATAGATGTGCACAAGGTGTTTGTAACATTATCATGTAATTATTTTGTTTATAATATTGAAATTGTTGGATAAAATCATTTCCTAATAATATATTACATTCTAATTTATTATAATTATATACTTTATTTATTATAACTTGTTTACTACCAAGTATTATATTAGCTATTTCAGCACTATTAATTATTTGAGTACTTTCTCAGTCACTCCTGTTATTTTTATTTTACTGTTTTTACTCCATAATTTTATTAAGAAATTTTTAAAAATTGTTATATCACTTCCTGTATCAATTAAGGCACAAGTTGTTATATTTGTTTCTACTATAATAACTTGTATATATACTGCTAATGGAAAACTTATTTGATTATTCATCCACTTCCTATTTTACATAATGTAGTTTGTCCTTTATGAGTTATATATAATCCTTCTCTCTTTATACTATAATCTTCTAATCCATTTAAGAAACTCATTCCTAATAATATATGAGGTTTAATATCCATACTTTCATCCAAATAACATGG